GGGACATAGACTAAGCAGCAGCTTTCTGCTGGGAAAGCTCAGAGGTCCAAACTGAGGCCAGTGGGAAAGAAAATGAGTGGGAACGTGACAAGTCCTAGAAGGTAAAGGCTCTTCGGTGTCCAACATGGTATGGCCAGTGGTCCCAGAATGCGCACACACAGGAGGGGTGATCTGTCATTGAGTGGGGCCAGCTCTTCCACACACAAAAAAAACTGCTGAAAACAGTCATGTTTTCATTGCTTCAGCCCAAGAGGTCAAAGCACTCTGTTATTCTCTCTTTGAGGGAAAACATCAAGGGCCCCAGTTACATGGCATTTCTGCTGAACACCAGGTGAAGGGCCAGTTCTTTCTCAACAGAGTAGAACTGTGTTGTGATTTTTCATTTTTTTTTTAAACAAAAGTTTTCTATTTGGACAAGGGACATTAACAATGTTTAATATTTGCAAAGCAAAAAGCAATAGTATTAAACAGACCATCCATAGTCTAGATTTCCAAACAATTAGACTGAATGGAATTTGACAAAGTTTGGATGAATTCTTTGCTTGTTTTTCTGCCTATTCAATAGAAAGATGTGAGGAAAGGCTCCTTTGAGGGGCTTTCACTTTAGGAAAACAACATATTCAGGTGACACACCAGGATGGCTTCAAGTCTAAAATGGGCAGCATTATAACAATGGGCTCTGAACATTTTTCTCAGAAAGCCTTTGCTTTGAGGGTTTCAAATATTCCCATACTGATGGGGCATGAGAGACCTAATGACAAGGTGAGGCCCTATTCCACCCCTTCTCCATGGTTCTCCTTCCGGCTTCTAGGTTTCCCTGCAGTTCCCTACAGGAGCCTGGAATCATGGCTTGAAACCCAGGACACACTGGAAGGTGACAGAACTTATCAGACCAGCTGTGCAGCAGCAAGGCCAGGCTGAGCCCAGAATCCAAGGGCCAAAAACTTCATGGATGCACTAAGCTGCCACAAGCTGCCCTGGCAAGAGCGGAGGCTGATCCCAGCAAAAGGTACTGGTCATGCAGAAGTAACAAGATTCAAGAAAATGCCAGCTTGCCAAGATAAGCAGCCACTGGTCCTCTCCTTCTAGGCACCTGATGCCCAGATTTTCAATTACTAGGACTTTGCTTAAATGATATTTTTCATATCTTCCTCAAAAATATGACATATGCTCAAAGATAACAAAGTAGGGAGAGGAGCAAGAAGTTACTCTTTATAGGATTGAAGTTTCATCAGTAGCTTATCTTTCAGAATTATTTTCTCAAACATGAATATAAAAGAAATGAATGATATAATCAGGTATTTCTGGAAATATGACATTTACTATTTTCTAACAAGAAAGAAAATAATCACTGTTCAAAATCATCACAATGATTTGTGTGTGTGTGGTATGTATGTGTGTGTGGTGTGTGTGTACAGTGTGTGGTGCACCTGATTACCTTTGGAACCTGCTAAAGACCAGCAGCAGCCCCAACAGGAACTTCGGGTCCTAGCCAGCTTAGATTCTCGGGCAATAGAACCAGAAGGTGAACAACAGCATGATCAATACTTTGTATTTCTGTCAGCTTTGCAGGTCCAAATTGAAAATAGTTCCAAAATGGAATTGTAATGAAAATATCATTGTTCTTTGTTGCTGGATTTTCCTTTTCTGACTATCAAGAAATATTTTCTTTTTCTCTTTTTTTTCTCTTTCATGTCACCAAAAGTAAAAGCCCTGTATCAGGCATACCTGGGTGTGTGGCGTGGTGGGGAGCAGTGGGAGAGTGAGAGGGGAGTTACAAAGTTCTTATGATGAGGCCTCTGGACATCAATACAAACCTGGAGACTGTGTGTGTCCAGGCTTCCTCATTTGTGTAACTCATGCTGTCCTAAGCCTCAGACTCAAGTGATAGTATGAAGGACAAAAAACATGCTCTGAGCTTTGAATTCGACTGCTGCTCAGGAACCTTGTCCACTTTTAAATTTTATATCCTTCATTAATTAACATTACAACCTGCTGTTCCAACAGCTTGATGTTTCCTAAATAATCAAAACCCACCAGCCTCCATATTTTACAGTTTCCACTTTCATGTAATTGAATTAAGTTGAAATATTTCTGAATAATAAATCTGTGTATAATAAGCTAATATCGTCTGTAGATAGGGTTTTCTATTAGGAATAAAATCTATAATTATACAGCCTATGGCTTTGTAGGTAAATTGAAAGCTTTGGCGTTTTCCTTAATTTAGAAATGAATTTAAATCAAAGAGAATAATAATTCTTTCCCAAACCCTAAGCCTTTCTTTAGATTTTAGAATTGTACAGTGATGTTAAAAGATTTCCCTTTTCTATCTACTAGAGATCTTTAAAAGCAAAGATACCAATAAAACTATTCACAAATCAGCAAAAAGACCAAATTAAGATTTTTTTTCAGTTTTGTGATTTTTCAAGAAAATATGTTCATGGTTTTAAACTCAATATGAGCGGTGTGGAAATGTACACCAACAGAGGGCCACGCGATCCTGTAAATCAAACGTGTGCTCGAGAAATTGTCCTTTAGCATCTGATCTTTGCTGTGTGATTTCAAACTGCTCCGGGGCAGCCTAAGCTTGTGTTCATATGACTCCATCGTTTACCGCTGAGGACAGACCATTAACGAGCCATGCTATGCGCCCCAAATCATTGCAACCCTTTAGTTGAGGAATGACAAAGTGACCTCGAGCCCCAGGATGCTCTGAGTAGACCCAGTCCTCCACCTATTTGAGTAGCTCTGCTGGACTGTCACAACCTTACACCAACAAAATGGCCCAGCAGGGCAGACTTCTTTTAGTGGTTCATCATTACTCAGCTACAACAACCTTTAGAACCTTTAGAACTATCTTCATTCTTCAAAAAGCAAGAGCAAAGCACTAATCCAAGTGAACGACTTTTTTAAGGAAAACTTTAAAGGTAAAAGTTTGATAATTCTCCCTCCATTTGAAAACTACCCTCTACTTTCAACGTGACAGGTATAGAAAGCTTTGCCAAGGTCAATTTATCTATTTTAAATGTAGGCTTTTATTTTTTTAGCTATATTGTGGTGTTACTGCTTAACCTCAAAATTGTCAGGGTTTTTGTTTTGTTTTGTTTTTTCTTTTTGTTTTTGGCTCCTGGTTATATATGTTAAAGAAGGAATATAAAAAGAATATTTATTTTCTTTTATAATAAACTCAACCAAGTGTGTATATTTTATGCTAATTTACATTCCTTTTGTAAAATATATTAATCAATTTTCAGAGGCCAAGATGAAGATTAAATTAAAAGGCAGCCTTTGAGGCCCCATTTTTAACACTCATGATTACAAAGTACCTTTGTCAGTGCTTTTTAGGTAATTAAAGGTAATCCACAAAGTTACTGTTTCCTTTAATATTCTGGTTCCAAAATTACCCAGATACAACATTTTACAGAAGATGTGGTCTATCCGATTTTTAAATTGGATCTGTAGCCAGTATGTACAGATCTCAGGTGTCATGCAGGTTTCTCAATTGTCAACACCATGGGGATAGATTTGTCTCATTTCTTTTTAAATAAAAAGTCATGCCTTGGGGTAACTAGGATGAAATAATGCACCTCTGACCTCTCCCCCTGGTCTGGGAAGTCTGCCCAGCTGTAGAGCCAGCGCTGTGATAGCTCCCTGCTCCCTGAAGGCAAAACAGAAGTGTGTGGCCAGGCAGGGACAGTTGGTCGGTGCTGGTTATTTGTTCCTTAAGTAACACAAAATACTTGCATAAGGGAGGAATTTTATAGACCACATTGGTCATGATTTTATAATTCTTTGTGTTGGAGGAAAAATCTCCTTTCCAGACTGTGGCTGCAGATACCACAAGCTCAGCCCCCTTCAGCCTGTTTAAACGGAAAACTACCGTCGGGGGCGGGGGAGGGCAACAGTCCTCAATTTTCCTCCTGCTACTATAAACCTAAACCTGTAGGTATGGGATGAAAGGCAGACACTGAGGAAAATCTTGCTGGGTAAGAAAGTACAGCCTGTCTTATATAAAGCAAGACAGCATTTGGCCTGCACGGCCACGAGCTGGAAATTCTTGCTGTGGGGGAAGGAAACCACCCACCCTGCTGCCTGGGGCAAACACAGCAGAAGTAGTGGCACCACCTGCATTTCTCACCGCAGGAGCTGTCCAGTTCTTCCAAGTGTGTTCGCTGTGTCCTGGGTAGGCCTGACGCACAGCTGCCAGGGATGTGGGCCCATGCCGGGAGGAGTGGGGGGCGGGGGGGGGGCACAGATCAGACACATGGCAATGCGAGGTGGCGAAGGAATGCCAAAGGAGTGAAGCCAAAGGAAACTGGGACAGAGTGAGGTCACGACCATTTTTAAACCTTCTCCCAATGGATGCGCAACGAATGCGTTTGTGGTGCCCTGTCCCGGCTGCCAGGGGAGCTGGCTGAGGAGTGCGCACCTCCTGGCCTCCAAGGCGACCACCGTAGCGGACGCCCCTGCACCCGGGCATCCACGCCCGGCTGCCCGAGCCTGCACCTACCTTGACGACGTAGGTGACTCCAGCCCCCAGCACCTGGTCGCTGGCGGGGGACGCGCGG